TCAGGCTTATGCTCTTCCAACAAATCTTGCTTGACGAAGCCGTGAAGGCAACGCTCACAGAAGTGCAGCTGATAAGGGCCAATCTGGTTGAGAAAGCGGTTGAAGTTCTTGATCAAAATGTAATGGTGTTTCTCAGGGTTTTTCGAATCCGAGACGAGAAAGAGATACACAGTCTTGCGAGCTCTCTCTACATTGCTTAGACTAAAGGAACGACGCCGCCTTCCCACCCGTACACGCTGATAGCAAGGTCATTCTCACGCTCTACTCGTTCGAGCTGGGAGAGTGTTGTGGGTGCACTCACTCCCGCGAAGTCAAGGCCGTCTCAGTGGGATACTTGCCCGGCCGTTGCGGGTCTTTAGCTTCAAGAAACAGCCCAGCCCTTAGAGACCAGCGGAGGCAGTCGTCGTCTTCGTTTTTCACGTTGACGATTGCCTTCTTATTCTTGACGCTGGTGGGGAGAGGAAGGTATGAGCCTCCGCGTAAAGGCTGATAGTGAGCGATGTCAAGCCAGAGTTTTTTGACACGACCCTCTATCCACCAAGACCCTTTCCAAGTGAACTTTCCCAATCTCTCCAGGATTGTTGGGAAGGCTTCATGTAGGGCTTGTGGATTCTCATGCTCCTGTAGAAGCGTGAACTGCTTTGTTTGGAACACTGGTGCTTGAAGCACTTCAGTACCATTTGCTTCGTCGTTCCGAAGCTCAACCTCTACAGCCAACTAGAACTTAACTCCTCGTAGAGCTAATAGCTCCTCGACGAGTTTGCGTTTGATGCAGGATAGGGAATTTCTGAGGATGGCCATCAAGTTGCGTTCGGAGGGATGCCCCTTCGGCACCTGCATTTTCCAGCAGGCTCTCAGATGATAGCTAAAAGCCTTTGTTTCATCCCACTTAAGTTCCGTAGGTGGGGAGTAGCCCTTGTGGGGCGTCGTGGTATAGATTCAGCCAGAAGCTCATTGATGTATGCGTTCATCTCATCATCAGTAAGCTCGGCGGGCCTGCGCTTGCGCAGTTTGGGAATAGGCCTGCGCTTTCGCGGTTTTGGGATACGCGGAGTGACATTTTTTGGCGTGGGCGTCGGGTCAGCGGGAGGTTGAAGAGCCTTAAGAAGGGGGTTCAGCGCGTGTCCGCTGATTACACCTTGGTCATATAGTTTCAGAAGTTTCTCGACAGTATTCATCTCGAGTGTCACAAATTTTAGTGCTATATCTTACGCGAGATAATTCTCTAAATCGAAATTAATTCGGCGAGTACTCTAGCAAATCTCTTTGTTGCTTGTTTCGTTTTATAAACGAGCTTATGATGCTTTCTATCCGCACCGCAAGCTTGACAAAGGATAATTTTGCCTGTGTTCTGACGCCACTCTTACTATACGGTTGTGGAATTTGCCCGCCTTCCCTTAATCGCTTCATATGAAGTCCACAGTATTCACCTATGGAGTTTCGCGCACATGTGGTGAGCTTTTCGGGTAGAAACCACGCACACTTGTTCTTGCCCTGTGTCATGGCTGTCGAACGTTTGGATTACGCTATTGAGAGTATATCTCTCCAAATAATTGACCCCCGACGGCCGGCCGCGCCGTCTTTGGCTCCTATCGTTGTCCTGGGTTTGACCTTCGCTGTAATTATGCTAGCATAATTACAAAAAGTACGTAAGCGAGCAAGGGCTGGGGCACTTAGATTTGTGTATACTCCTTCTCAAACTGTGAGGTGCGCTAGAAATGACGCTTTCTCAAGGTGAAGTGCGCCAGCGACAACGCTCTGTATACTACTGTAACAGAAAAACTGGACTGCAAACAGCAATCGAGTTACGTTTTGTAGGATAATCGGATTACATTAGGCAAATCTAAACGGCGTAATAATACGATGATTTATAAAATCTGTCGCTTAAATGCGAATTTCGAGTACGTCAACAAGTGGATTTCATGTGTTTAGTGTTTTTGGTTAAAAAATAGACTCAATAAACTGAATAAACTATGAAAATATATGTTTAATGTCTGAATTTCAAGTTTTTTTTGCCGAATTCTGACCGTTTCCAGTGTCACATTGGATACCCCATGGATCCGCCCCTGTATAATACGTATTTACCGGCTGGGAGGTCCGTATGCGGAAAAAATATTTTCACAAGGTCTGCAACTTAATGTTGTGACTAAAATTGGATGCTTTTCAGCAAACTTCGCTTTGTCTGGACAGTAAAATGCACTCTTGCAACGACAACTTTCATCTGAATACACCTTGCTTACTTGTTAAACAATTTACATCGCTTTCAAATCAATTTTATAAAATTTGCATTCCACTTCGTAAACAAATACAATGCGAAAAAATATGTTGAGACTAAAATTGGATTTTCTACAAACTTTGCTTCGTCTGGATAGTAAAACTCACTCTGGCTATGATAAATATCATCTTAAAACATTCTGCCTACTCGTTCAACAATTTACATCGTTTTTAAATCATATTTTAAAATTTACATTTCAATTCGCAAGCAAAAACATTGCAAAAAAATATCATTTGTGCACAATGGCAGATATGCGTAAAAAGCTGCCCTCTCACGCAGCCAATCAAATTGCTGGAAATCAAAAAAATATCGCTTTGGACAGCTAAATCAAAATATAGCTGTGTGGGCGTTGTAAAATAGCCGACACAGCTTGATATTGGAAAAAAATTGGATTTTTTTTAGAAATTTAACTTCTTAAGGACAGTAAAATTTAGTCTTGCTATGATGACTTTCATCTAAATACACTGTGCTTCATCGCTGAGCAATTTACATCGCTTTTAAATCAATTTTAGAAATTTAAATTTCACTTTGTAACAAACGTATTGCTAAAAATATCACTTTTGGATTATAATTTAGGTATCGTAAAAAGATTCCTGCTTTTGCAGCCAATCAGATTGCGGGAAATCAAAAAATATCGCTTCGTTTGCATAAATGAAAAAACGAATTGAAATATTTTCGTAAAATTTAGTAAAAATTCTATAAGGCTCTTAATTTCATACATAAGCGTCGTAAGAAAGAATTTAATTTTACTTTTGTATAATCTTTTCCTATTTTTTGTTTGTATTATAACGTTCGCAATATACCACACTACGACCTTGAAAAAAAATACAAAGAAAAATTTTTACGATGAACTTTAGAACTTCAACATGCTTCATTTGCCGATGAAATTTAGCCATGTACCTTAGATAGACTAGATAAATTCTTCGCTTCAGTCTTTCGTCTATCTTTTGCAGGAATCTCTCTTATAGGTTTTGATAGTAAAACATTTGTCATAGAGCATTTATAAAAACTTACAATAGGAAATAATCGTCGAACAAAAATCCCATGTACGTCTTCTGCAATCGTAATCGCCTGGGATATTATAGCATGGGTAACAAAGGCGACAAATAGAATACTTGTATTCGTTGGTATCAAATGCCTGTTTTTTAAAGGCTTACCCTCAACCACACACACAGAATGAAGTTTCAAAATCCCCTCGCAAGTTTTCATGGCGTAGCTATAATTTGAAATATTTTGGCCAAAAAACATGCCATTGTTGAATACATTAAATTGCCATTGCTTGGTAGAAGCGTGATTACTGTATTGCAATCATTGAGTAAGAGTTTGATTGAAGTTTTAGAATACGGGCAAAATTCAGTAAATTCACGCAAACATACTCATTCATCATATATCATTCACCATTTGTATCATATATGAAACTAATTACCTTGTATACATCAAAAATGTTGAGACTACTAGTACAAAAAAATTCTTAGAATCACTTGACCAACATTTTCTGATGTCAGGGTCAGGCAGACTTTATAAAGTTTTTGTAAATTCCACTGACGGGTAGATAATGTAATCAAAACTAATATTACTATGGACAATATTGTTTCCTTTATATTGATTTCAAACTGATTGCCTACTCGATGCTACTAGATAAACTAAAAGCTTTTTTTATATTAAACGGAAATCTCAGGGAGGTAGTAGATCAGAGTCGATCTCACCCACAGATGATTTTTGACAGAAATTTTAAAGTTATAAGGAAATGTAACAACAACTAATTGTTCTTAAATTCAAGGGAAAATGCTGCAATAAGAGTAATTCAATTGAAAATTCAATACTAAATCTACTATATCTCCTATCTACTTCTTTTTATGTGCTTGCTGTTGTCATTGTTGACTGAGTGATAAACTTTATTTGAAAAAAATAATTCGCCTTTTCAGCAATAGCTACATGAAAAATGGCAATTGCACTTTTGCACTACACATAATTTTTTTGACCATATGTAATAACTCAAATGACAGATGACATATTTTAAACCAACAATCTAAGAATATTATAAACAATGACGTAACCTTTAGTTAAGAAATAGAAGTTGTTTAATGTATTTGCACAGGCTTATGCCATCCCCGAAGAGACCTTTGGAAGATAGAGCTTGAAAGCTGATCAAGAATTTGAAAGTTCTCACAAAACGTCTCTAAGGTTTGCATAAGCCAGTGCAAACACGAAAACATCATTTATTTCTTTTATAAAGCAACAATAAAGTGAAACAGACAAATTGAAAACAGACGTTTTAACTTTACCCCTAAAATGCATTTATGATCGATTTGCAATTTGATTGATTTGATTGGTTGAATTCATATCTGTTTTGCACAGACTAATGAAAACACAGCTGTTGACCAATCAGAACCACATTTCACTGTCTTTACTTATAAATTGAATTCTAATTAAGTGAATGCAAACTTTATGTTGGTTTCACATAAAATGCTTACTTCAAACAAGCTTAAGTCAGTTCTAATGTAACATAAACCACTAATTGTTATCTATTTAGCTTTTAATTCACTTAATCAGCAGAGACTTTAGAGAAACGCCCTTCTTGAGTTAGCTAATAATTTGTGTATTTGAACACAAGACCTTGTCAAGCATTTCCCATATTTTAATAGTTCAAGCAGTTTTCAAAGAATTTTCATAAAATCACGTAAGCTTGCAACGTAAGTTAAAAGATCTAGAAAGACCAACTTACCGATACATTTCTTTTTGGATTTGTCAAGTTTGTATCCAGTGGAGCATAGGCATTCGTAGGAGCCTGGGATATTTATGCATGAGTGATCTTTGCCACAAGGAGAAGACTGACATTCGCCGATATCTAATAATTCACAATAAAGTTGTTTGAAAATGTGTACCATAAATTAAGCAATTTTAAGTCTAATTTAAAGATGTGTAATAAATAAATATGAAATTTTTTGTTTAATTTATTACGTTTGAATACTTCTTAATTGATTTTAGGAGAATGTAAAACATAATTGTCCTAAAACTTTAATACGTGTATTTGATATGAACAAATCAACATCTAAAACGTCTAATAAATTCTGTAAAAATGAGAGTATAGTGAGATCTGTGATTTTTGGTACTGTATGTATTAGTAATTTATTTGTAACACAATTTCTAGATTCGTTTAGACAAATATTTTGTAAATCATACAGACTACGTTTGATTTTTAAGAACAAGAATGAGTCTATTAACATGATACGTTAATTAACGATCATTTACTGTACACGATAGAAGATTGCTCACCAAGGGCTACAAGCAGAACCACACATAAAGAAAGTTAAATCTGGTAGTGAGTTGATAAGGCGGCATTTATGATATAAATCAAACCTAGTTCTTACATAGCTAATAGGATTATGAATTATGAAGTGTGACGTATACCCACGACGGTTGCTATTTTGAATTATTTTCATCGTTAAAAAAAAGCGAAAAACAACTTAGCTATTTAAAGTAATGAGATTAGCTTTGGAAAAATTCACACAACAAGAGCATATTAATTATCTTATCTTGTCGTTGCAAATGTCAGAATTTTGAGTTTGTTAATTCAAGATGTTGGATTATCTTTGCAACAGAAAATGCATCGACTAACAAAATTATATGAAATTGAAGCATATCATTTATACCAAACAAGCTTGACTGTTTACCCGCAATAAATCCTTTGAAAAATATTTTACCAGAAGTGGAAAAATCATATTTGATTCAAGCATGTCGTCATTGATATGCATATCTTAATACAAAAGCAGCGATATTTGGAGACGTTGCATCTTGCCGTAAAATTTAAAAAAGTTTTTCAATCAAGCCTTATTCATTGTTCCATCAAGCACTGTTCATTTTCAAATTTATTGTTTTCTAAGTAAATCAACACACAAAACTAACAAAACAAGACTAAATGCAAGCAGGTTGGCTACGAACAGGTCCAAAACTAGAACGTTCATTGAAGGTGGGTTGAATACTCATATATATGCGAATATTCATGTTTTGTGACCTAATGTGCTCAGCAGTAGGGCGTGACGGACAAAGAAGTTATGTAAATAGGAATGGCTAAGAAGGTATGGCATTTTCATTATTGCCTAAAAGCAGGTCTTTTGAATTTATATAAGTTTGAAGCTTCATCTAAGGTTCCGTTTTTGACACATTTACTCGAGCAAAACTATTACTAAGCATAACTCTAAATTATTTTTGATATTTAAGTGACCATTCCCTGCATACCTGTTCTTTATTGAATTGACATCTTTAAGTATGTACCAAGATATACTTGCAATTTTACAGATTGGCCAAATTTGGTACCACATTAATTTTAGTTGAATATGTTAAACTATTTTTGGCGATAAAAGAAATATTTGTCTTCAAGCCATTAACATTTTACCATGGGGCATTGATTGAATCACTCTTAGTTGCATAAAAAGTTCAGAATTAGCTTTTAGTGCCCAACAATCTGCTACATGGTCGAATGAGTTCTCTAGTTCTAACATTTTTAGGAAGAAAACAATAAGTAAAGAATGCACCAATTTTACCACAAAATAGTACATTTATATAAAGTACCTAATGTATTGATAATTATAGAAGCTACTCACAGTTTAAATTACGTCTCTCACGTTGACAGATGAAGTTAAAGTGACGCCCACATCCAGCGTCAGACCACCTGATATAATTAATAATAACGCAGTCCTCTATGCCAAATCTTTTGTGACTAGGTTTTCCCCCTATGCCATAATGTGAAACTGGGCTTGCCATTTTGAACTGTGTAGAACTGATTGTCGCTTTTATTGCGATACAAACCAATAAAATAATGTTTACTGCGTTTTCTCCAGATGGTTCTTAAAATGGCAAAATTCTCAAATTCATTTTTTGGAACAGCAAGATCTCCTCCCATCTCTTGACAAAGTTTTCTTGCTTTATTCCATGTTGTTTCTTTTGCACTTAAGAAATAACAAGATGATTCTATATGCCACCAATCAGAAGGACATCTTACTAGACGAATAAAAAAATAAATAAGACAACAAGAACAAGTAATTGTTTTCAGAATGATTTGTACGAATAAAATAGAATATTTAATAAGCACTTTTTAACTGTAAAAGCTGATTAAAAATGCTTAAAAAGGCAGGATTGTGTTTTGAAGACAGATGTTGTTTAGAAAAAGTCTTTCAATACCTAAAGGGTTTTTTAAGGAATAAGGAGGGACTTTGAGCTGGTTTTGTAGAGTAGCAACCCAGTTGCAGAGTAAAGTATAATAGAATACAATCCTTAAAAAAATTGTATAGAAATTGTAAAAGAAATAATAGAAATTGATTGTGAAGCTTATGTAGTCCGGCTAACACTTGACATTTTAATCATATGGGGAAACCTTCGTGTTTAAATGGATGGTTATAATAATCGGTAAGTGTTGTTAAGCATTTTTTTAGTATTTATACTGTGCATAATAAACTGTCTGTTTTAGACAAAAACTAATTCATTCCATAATATTTTAATCCAGATAGAAATACTAAAATAAGGAAATCATAACACCAAAAATGTGCATGAACTTAAGGTAAGCCGTCAAATATAGCTCTTTTTTACGCCAATCTACTTTCTTTTTAAGTGCTTGCTGTTGTCATTGTTGATTGATTGATAAACGTTATTTAAAATAATTAATTGGCCTTTTCAGCAATAGCTACATGAAAAATAGCAATTGCACATTTGCACTACACATAATTTTTTGACCATATGTGTTAACTAAAATGACAGATGTTATATTTTAAACCAACAACCTAAGAATATTATAAACAATGACGTGGCCTTTAGTTAAGATATAAAAGTTGTTTAATGTATTTGCACAGGCTTATGCCATCCCCGAGGAGGCCTTTGGAAGATAGAGCATGAGAGCTGATTGAGAATTCGAAAGTTCTCAGAAAACGTCTCTAAGGTTTGCATAAGCCAGTGCAAACACAAAAACATCATTTATTTCTTTTATAAAGCAACAATAAAGTGAAACAGACAAATTGAAAACAGACGTTTTAACTTTACCTCTAAAATACATTTATGATCGATTTTCAATTTGATTGATTTGATTGGTTGAATTCATATCTGTTTTGCGCAGACTAATGAAAACACAGCTATTGACCAATAAGAACCACATTTCACTGTCTTTACTTATAAATTGAATTCTAATTAAGTGAATGCCAACTTTATGTTGGTTTCACATAAAATGCTTACTTTAAACAAGCTCAAGTCAGTTCTAATGTAACATAAACCACTAATTGTTATCTATTTAATTTTTAATTCACTTAATCAGCAGAGACTTTAGAGAAACGCCCTTCTTCAGTTAGCTAATAATTTGTGCATTTGAATACAAGACCTTGTCAAGCATTTCCCATATTTTAATAGTTCAAGCAGTTTTCAAGAAATTTTCATGAAGTCACGTAAGCTTGCAACATAAGTTAAAAGATCTAGAAAGACGAACTTACCGATACATTTCTTTTTGGATTTGTCAAGTTTGTATCCAGTGGTGCATAGGCATTCGTAGGAGCCTGGGATATTTATGCATGAGTGATCTTTGCCACAAGGAGAAGACTGACATTCGCCGATATCTAATGTTTCACAATAAAGTTGTTTAAAAATGTGTACCATAAATTAAGCAATTTTATGTCTACTTTAAAGATGTGTAATAAATTAATATGAAATTTTTTGTTTACTTTATTACGTTTGAATATTTCTTAATTGAGTTTACGAGAATGTAAAAACATAATTGTACTAAATTTTTAATACATGTATTTTATATGAACAAATCAACATCTAAAACGTCAAATAAATTCTGTAACAAATGAGAGTATATTGAGATCTGTAATTTTTTGGAACTGTATGTATTAGTAATTTAATTGTAACACAACTTTTTAGATTCGTTTAGACAAATATTTTTGTAAATCGTTCAGACTACGTTTGATTTTTAACAATAAGAATGAGTCTATTAACATAATACATTAATTAACGATCATTTACTGTACACGATAGAAGATTGCTCACCAAGGGCTACAATTAGAACCACACATAAAGAAAGTTAAATCTGGCAGTGAGATTGAAAAGGCGGCATTTATGATATAAATCAAACCTAGTTCTTACATAGCTAATAGGATTATGATTTATGAAGTGTGACGTATACCCACGACGGTTGGTATTTTGAATTATTTTCATCGTTAAAAAAAAAGCGAAAAACAACTTAGCCATTTAAAGCAATGAGATTAGCTTTGGAAAATTCACACAACAGGGGCATATTAATTATCTTATCCTGTCATTGCAAGTGTCAGAAATTTTTAGTTTGTTAGTTCAAGATGCTGGATTATCTTTGCAAAAGAAAAGTCATCGATTAACAAAATTATATGAAATTAAAGCATATCATTCATACCAAACAAGCTTGACGGTTTACCCGCAATAAATTCTTTGAAAAAATATTTTTCCAGAAGTGGAAAAATCATATTTGATTCAAGCATGTCGTCATTGATATGCATATCTTAATACAAAAAGCAGCGGTATTTGGAGACGTTGCATCTTGCCGTAAGATTTTAAAAAAGTTCTTTCAATCAAGCTTTATTCATTGTTCCATCAAGCACTGTTCATTTTCAAATTTATTGTTTTCTAAGTAAATCAACACACAAAAACTAACAAAACAAGACTAAATACAAGCAGGTTGGCTACGACCAGGTCCAAAACTAGAACGTTCATTGGAGGGGGTGGGTTGAATATTCATATATATGCGAATATTCATGTTTTGTGACCTAATGTGCTCAGCAGTAGGGCGTGACGGACAAAGAAGTTATGTAAATAGGAATGGCTAAGAAGGTATGGCATTTTCATTATTGCCTAAAAGCAGGTCTTTTGAATTTATATAAGTTTGTGGAAGCTTCATCTAAGGTTCCGTTTTTGACACATTTACTCGAGCAAAACTATTACTAAGCATAACTCTAAATTATTTTTGATATTTAAGTGACCATTCCCTGCATACCTGCTCTTTATTGAATTGACATCTTTAATTATGTACCAAGATATACTTGCAATTTTTGAGATTGACCAATATTGGTACCACATTAATTTTAGTTGAATATGTTAAACTATTTTTGGCGATAAAAGAATTATTTGTCTTCAAGCCATTAACATTTCACTTTGGGGCATTGATTGAATCACTGTTAGTTGCATAAAAAGATCAGAATTAGCTTTTACTGCTCCACAATCGGCTACATGGTCGAATGAGTTCTTTAGTTCTAACATTTTTTTAGGAGGAAAACAATAAGTAAAGAATGCACCAAATTTCCCACAAAATAGTACATTTATGTAAAGTACCTAATCTATTGATAATTATAGAAGCTACTCACAGTTTAAATTACGTCTCTCACGTTGACAGATGAAGTTAAAGTGACGCCCACATCCAACGTCCAACCACGTGCGAAAAAAAATAATAACGCAGTCCTCTATGCCAAATCTTTCGTGACTAGGTTGTCCCCAACGCCATGATGTGAAATTGGGCTTGCCATTTTGAACTGTGTAGAACTGATTGTCGCTTTTATTGCGATACAAACCAATAAAATAATGTTTACGGCGTTTTCTCAAGCTGATTCTTAAAATGGCATTAGTCTCAGCATTGTTTTTTGGAACAGCAAGATCTCCTCCCTTCTGTTGACAAAGTTTTCTTGCTTTATTCCATGTTGCTGCTTTTGCACTGAAGAAATAACAAGATGATTCTATATGCAACCAATCAGAAGGACAGCTTGCTAGACGAATGAAAAAATAAATAAGACAACAATAACAAGTAATTGTTTTCAGAATGATTTGTACGAATAGAATAGAATATTTAATATGCACTTTTAAACTGTAAAAGCTGACTGAAAATGCTTAAACAGGCAGGATTGTGTTTTGCAGACATATGTTTTTTAAAACAAGTCTTTCAATACCTAAAGGGTTTTTAAGGAATGAGGAGGGTCTTTCAGCTGGTTATGTAGAGTAGCCACAAGTTGCAGATTAAAGAAAAATAGAATACAATTCTTAAAAAAATTGTATAGAAATTTTAAAAGAAATAAAAGAAATTGATGTGAAGCTTATGTAGTCCGGCTAACACTTGACATTTTAATTATAAGGGGAAACCTTCGTGTTTAAATGTATGGTTATAATAATCGTTAAGTGTTGATGTGGATTTGTTTTGTATTTATATTGTGCATAATCAACTGTCTGTTTTAGACTAAAATCAAATTCATTCCATAATATTTTAATTGAGAAAAATATACTAAAATAAGGAAATCATAACACCAAAAATGTTCATGAACTTGAGGTAAGCTGTCAAATATAGCTCATTTTTACGCCCATTTCAAATAACATTCCTAATTTTCCAGATTAAAGTCAATTTCATGGTAATGTGTGCTTACATGAAATTTTTTTATGTCTGAATAAAAAAATTCTAGTCTAACTCTAATAGCGTTAAATTGAATAGCAAGAAAGTCATTTGAAATTTTATTAAACTCAGTAGAAAGTTAATGCCATTTACTGAAAAACGTTATTACCCATTATTTACATACATTTTTTGACCTTATTTATTGTACCTCTTAAAATATTGCTTATTTAGGTTTTTAAAGGAAGTGAATGCTTAACAGTAAAACCTAATTTTCTTACATCGAAAGTAAACAAGATATGTATGAATGAACATTATCAGTGCATACCACCCATACTAAGCGGCGGATGACTAATTGCGCGGCCTGTAAGCTTAGAAAAATTTGTGGGACTTTAAGTGATATAACTTTTGAGGACGTTTTCATTCCTTATGCTCCATTGCCTTTGCTTCAGTTTTGTTACTCATAGTGTAAACACTATAGAATAAATTTAAATTTCGAACGAAATAAGCTCTTTACTTTATGAGTTCTATACATAGAGCATTATAATAGTATATCGTACAGTTTCCAACAGGATATATTTCTGGAATTTTAATTATTTATCTAATCTTGAATGGCAAACTGTCTTTACTTATAAATTGAATTCTAATTAAGTGAATGCCAACTTTATGTTGGTTTCACATAAAATGCTCACTTTAAACAAGCTTAAGTGAGTTCTAATGTAACATAAACCACTAATTGTTGTCTATTTAGCTTTTAATTCACTTAATCAGCAGAGACTTTAGAGAAACGCCCTCCTTGAGTTAGCTAATAGTTTGTGAATTTAAACACAAGACCTTGTCAATCATTTCCCAAATTTTAACAGTTCAAGCAGTTTTCAACAGTAAAGAATTTTCATGAAGTCACGTAAGCTTGCAACATAAATTAAAAAAATCTAGAAAGACCAACTTACCGATACATTTCTTTTTGGATTTGTCAAGTTTGTATCCAGTGGAGCATAGGCATTCGTAGGAGCCTGGGATATTTATGCATGAGTGATCTTTGCCACAAGGAGAAGACTGACATTCGCCGATATCTAATAATTCACAATAAAGTTGTTTGAAAATGTGTACCATAAATTAAGCAATTTTAAGTCTAATTTAAAGATGTGTAATAAATAAATATGAAATTTTTTGTTTAATTTATTACGTTTGAATACTTCTTAATTGATTTTAGGAGAATGTAAAAACATAATTGTCCTAAAACTTTCATACGTGTATTTGATATGAACAAATCAACATCTAAAACGTCTAATAAATTCTGTAAAAAATGAGAGTATAGTGAGATCTGTGATTTTTGGTACTGTATGTATTAGTAATTTATTTGTAACACAATTTCTAGATTCGTTTAGACAAATATTTTTGTAAATCATACAGACTACGTTTGATTTTTAACAACAAGAATGAGTCTATTAACATGATACGTTAATTAACGATCATTTACTGTACACGATAGAAGATTGCTTACCAAGGGCTACAAGCAGAACCACACATAAAGAAAGTTAAATCTGGTAGTGAGTTCGATAAGGCGGCATTTATGATATAAATCAAACCTAGTTCTTACATAGCTAATAGGATTATGAATTATGAAGTGTGACGTATACCCACGACGGTTGCTATTTTGAATTATTTTCATCGTTAAAAAAAAGCGAAAAACAACTTAGCTATTTAAAGTAATGAGATTAGCTTTGGAAAAATTCACACAACAAGAGCATATTAATTATCTTATCTTGTCGTTGCAAATGTCAGAATTTTTGAGTTTGTTAATTCAAGATGTTGGATTATCTTTGCAACAGAAAATGCATCGACTAACAAAATTATATGAAATTGAAGCATATCATTTATACCAAACAAGCTTGACTGTTTACCCGCAATAAATCCTTTGAAAAAATATTTTACCAGAAGTGGAAAAATCATATTTGATTCAAGCATGTCGTCATTGATATGCATATCTTAATACAAAAAGCAGCGATATTTGGAGACGTTGCATCTTGCCGTAAAATTTAAAAAAAAGTTTTTCAATCAAGCCTTATTCATTGTTCCATCAAGCACTGTTCATTTTCAAATTTATTGTTTTCTAAGTAAATCAACACACAAAAACTAACAAAACAAGACTAAATGCAAGCAGGTTGGCTACGAACAGGTCCAAAACTAGAACGTTCATTGGAAGGGGTGGGTTGAATACTCATATATATGCGAATATTCATGTTTTGTGACCTAATGTGCTCAGCAGTAGGGCGTGACGGACAAAGAAGTTATGTAAATAGGAATGGCTAAGAAGGTATGGCATTTTCATTATTGCCTAAAAGCAGGTCTTTTGAATTTATATAAGTTTGTGGAAGCTTCATCTAAGGTTCCGTTTTTGACACATTTACTCGAGCAAAACTATTACTAAGCATAACTCTAAATTATTTTTGATATTTAAGTGACCATTCCCTGCATACCTGTTCTTTATTGAATTGACATCTTTAAGTATGTACCAAGATATACTTGCAATTTTACAGATTGGCCAAATTTGGTACCACATTAATTTTAGTTGAATATGTTAAACTATTTTTGGCGATAAAAGAAATATTTGTCTTCAAGCCATTAACATTTTACCATGGGGCATTGATTGAATCACTCTTAGTTGCATAAAAAGTTCAGAATTAGCTTTTAGTGCCCAACAATCGGCTACATGGTCGAATGAGTTCTCTAGTTCTAACATTTTTTAGGAAGAAAACAATAAGTAAAGAATGCACCAATTTTACCACAAAATAGTACATTTATATAAAGTAGCTAATGTATTGATAATTATAGAAGCTACTCACAGTTTAAATTACGTCTCTCACGTTGACAGATGAAGTTAAAGTGACGCCCACATCCAGCGTCAGACCACCTGATATAATTAATAATAACGCAGTCCTCTATGCCAAATCTTTTGTGACTAGGTTTTCCCCTATGCCATAATGTGAAACTGGGCTTGCCATTTTGAACTGTGTAGAACTGATTGTCGCTTTTATTGCGATACAAACCAATAAAATAATGTTTACTGCGTTTTCTCCAGATGGTTCTTAAAATGGCAAAATTCTCAAATTCATTTTTTTGGAACAGCAAGATCTCCTCCCATCTCTTGACAAAGTTTTCTTGCTTTATTCCATGTTGTTTCTTTTGCACTTAAGAAATAACAAGATGATTCTATATGCCACCAATCAGAAGGACATCTTACTAGACGAATGAAAAAATAAATAAGACAACAAGAACAAGTAATTGTTTTCAGAATGATTTGTACGAATAAAATAGAATATTTAATAAGCACTTTTTAACTGTAAAAGCTGATTAAAAATGCTTAAAAAGGCAGGATTGTGTTTTGAAGACAGATGTTGTTTAGAAAAAGTCTTTCAATACCTAAAGGGTTTTTAAGGAATAAGGAGGGACTTTGAGCTGGTTTTGTAGAGTAGCAACCCAGTTGCAGAGTAAAGTATAATAGAATACAATCCTTAAAAAAAATTGTATAGAAATTGTAAAAGAAATAATAGAAATTGATTGTGAAGCTTATGTAGTCCGGCTAACACTTGACATTTTAATCATATGGGAAACCTTCGTGTTTAAATGGATGGTTATAATAATCGGTAAGTGTTGTTAAGCATTTTTTTAGTATTTATACTGTGCATAATAAACTGTCTGTTTTAGACAAAAACTAATTCATTCCATAATATTTTAATCCAGATAGAAATACTAAAATAAGGAAATCATAACACCAAAAATGTGCATGAACTTAAGGTAAGCCGTCAAATATAGCTCTTTTTTACGCCAATCTACTTTCTTTTTAAGTGCTTGCTGTTGTCATTGTTGATTGATTGATAAACGTTATTTAAAATAATTAATTGGCCTTTTCAGCAATAGCTACATGAAAAATAGCAATTGCACATTTGCACTACACATAATTTTTTGACCATATGTGTTAACTAAAATGACAGATGTTATATTTTAAACCAACAACCTAAGAATATTATAAACAATGACGTGGCCTTTAGTTAAGATATAAAAGTTGTTTAATGTATTTGCACAGGCTTATGCCATCCCCGAGGAGGCCTTTGGAAGATAGAGCATGAGAGCTGATTGAGAATTCGAAAGTTCTCAGAAAACGTCTCTAAGGTTTGCATAAGCCAGTGCAAACACAAAAACATCATTTATTTCTTTTATAAAGCAACAATAAAGTGAAACAGACAAATTGAAAACAGACGTTTTAACTTTACCTCTAAAATACATTTATGATCGATTTTCAATTTGATTGATTTGATTGGTTGAATTCATATCTGTTTTGCGCAGACTAATGAAAACACAGCTATTGACCAATAAGAACCACATTTCACTGTCTTTACTTATAAATTGAATTCTAATTAAGTGAATGCCAACTTTATGTTGGTTTCACATAAAATGCTTACTTTAAACAAGCTCAAGTCAGTTCTAATGTAACATAAACCACTAATTGTTATCTATTTAATTTTAATTCACTTAATCAGCAGAGACTTTAGAGAAACGCCCTTCTTCAGTTAGCTAATAATTTGTGCATTTGAATACAAGACCTTGTCAAGCATTTCCCATATTTTAATAGTTCAAGCAGTTTTCAAGAAATTTTCATGAAGTCACGTAAGCTTGCAACATAAGTTAAAAGATCTAGAAAGACCAACTTACCGATACATTTCTTTTTGGATTTGTCAAGTTTGTATCCAGTGGAGCATAGGCATTCGTAGGAGCCTGGGATATTTATGCATGAGTGATCTTTGCCACAAGGAGAAGACTGACATTCGCCGATATCTAATGTTTTACAATAAAGTTGTTTAAAAATGTGTACCATAAATTAAGCAATTTTATGTCTACTTTAAAGATGTGTAATAAATTAATATGAAATTTTTTGTTTACTTTATTACGTTTGAATATTTCTTAATTGAGTTTACGAGAATGTAAAAACATAATTGTACTAAATTTTTAATACATGTATTTTATATGAACAAATCAACATGTGAAACGTCAAATAAATTCTGTAACAAATGAGAGTATAGTGAGATATGTGATTTTTGGGGACTGTATGTATTAGTAATTTACTTGTAACACAACTTTTTAGATTGGTTTAGACAAATATTTTTGTAAATCGTTCAGACTACGTTTGATTTTTAACAAAAAGAATGAGTCTATTAACATAATACATTAATTAACGATCATTTACTGTACACGATAGAAGATTGCTCACCAAGGGCTAGAAGCAGAACCACACATAAAGAAAGTTAAATCTGGTAGTGAGACTGATAAGGCGGCATTTATGATATAAATCAAACCTAGTTCTTACATAGCTAATAGGATTATGAATTATGAAGTGTGACGTATACCCACGACGGTTGCTATTTTGAATTATTTTCATCGTTAAAAAAAACGAAAACAACTTAGCCATTTAAAGCAATGAGATTAGCTTTGGAAAATTCACACAACAAGGGCATATTAATTATCTTATCCTGTCGTTGCAAGTGTCAGAAATTTTGAGTTTGTTAATTCAAGATGTTGGATTATCTTTGCAAAGAAAATGCATCGACTAACAAAATTATATGAAATTAAAGCATATCATTTATACCAAACAAGCTTGACGGTTTACCCGCAATAAATTCTTTGAAAAAATATTTTTCCAGAAGTGGAAAAATCATATTTGATTCAAGCATGTCGTCATTGATATGCATATCTTAATACAAAAAGCAGCGGTATTTGGAGACGTTGCATCTTGCCGTAAAATTTAAAAAGTTTTTCAATCAAGCCTTATTCATTGTTCCATCAAGCACTGTTCATTTTCAAATTTATTGTTTTCTAAGTAAATCAACACACAAAAACTAACAAAACAAGACTAAATACAAGCAGGTTGGCTACGACCAGGTCCAAAACTAGAACGTTCATTGGAGGGGGTGGGTTGAATATTCATATATATGCGAATATTCATGTTTTGTGACCTAATGTGCTCAGCAGTAGGGCGTGACGGACAAAGAAGTTATGTAAATAGGAATGGCTAAGAAGGTATGGCATTTTCATTATTGCCTAAAAGCAGGTCTTTTGAATTTATATAAGTTTGTGGAAGCTTCATCTAAGGTTCCGTTTTTGACACATTTACTCGAGCAAAACTATTACTAAGCATAACTCTAAATTATTTTTGATATTTAAGTGACCATTCCCTGCATACCTGCTCTTTATTGAATTGACATCTTTAATTATGTACCAAGATATACTTGCAATTTTGAGATTGGCCAATTTGGTACCACATTAATTTTAGTTGAATATGTTAAACTATTTTGGCGATAAAAGAATTATTTGTCTTCAAGCCATTAACATTTCACTTTGGGGCATTGATTGAATCACTGTTAGTTGCATAAAAAGTTCAGAATTAGCTTTTACTGCTCCACAATCGGCTACATGGTCGAATGAGTTCTTTAGTTCTAACATTTTTTTAGGAGGAAAACAATAAGTAAAGAATGCACCAATTTTCCCACAAAATAGTACATTTATGTAAAGTACCTAATCTATTGATAATTATAGAAGCTACTCACAGTTTAAATTACGTCTCTCACGTTGACAGATGAAGTTAAAGTGACGCCCACATCCAACGTCCAACCACGTGCGAAAAAAAATAATAACGCAGTCCTCTATGCCAAATCTTTCGTGACTAGGTTGTCCCCAACGCCATGATGTAAATTGGGCTTGCCATTTTGAACTGTGTAGAACTGATTGTCGCTTTTATTGCGATACAAACCAATAAAATAATGTTTACGGCGTTTTCTCAAGCTGATTCTTAAAATGGCATTAGTCTCAGCATTGTTTTTTGGAACAGCAAGATCTCCTCCCTTCTGTTGACAAAGTTTTCTTGCTTTATTCCATGTTGCTGCTTTTGCACTGAAGAAATAACAAGATGATTCTATATGCAACCAATCAGAAGGACAGCTTGCTAGACGAATGAAAAATAAATAAGACAACAATAACAAGTAATTGTTTTCAGAATGATTTGTACGAATAGAATAGAATATTTAATATGCACTTTTAAACTGTAAAAGCTGACTGAAAATGCTTAAACAGGCAGGATTGTGTTTTGCAGACATATGTTTTTTAAAACAAGTCTTTCAATACCTAAAGGGTTTTTTAAGGAATGAGGAGGGTCTTTCAGCTGGTTATGTAGAGTAGCCACAAGTTGCAGATTAAAGAAAAATAGAATACAATTCTTAAAAAAATTGTATAGAAATTTTAAAAGAAATAAAAGAAATTGATGTGAAGCTTATGTAGTCCGGCTAACACTTGACATTTTAATTATAAGGGAAACCTTCGTGTTTAAATGTATGGTTATAATAATCGTTAAGTGTTGATGTGGATTTGTTTTGTATTTATATTGTGCATAATCAACTGTCTGTTTTAGACTAAAATCAAATTCATTCCATAATATTTTAATTGAGAAAATATACTAAAATAAGGAAATCATAACACCAAAATGTTCATGAACTTGAGGTAAGCTGTCAAATATAGCTCATTTTACGCCCATTTCAAATAACATTCCTAATTTTCCAGATTAAAGTCAATTTCATGGTAATGTGCTTACATGAAATTTTTTTATGTCTGAATAAAAAAATTCTAGTCTAACTCTAATAGCGTTAAATTGAATAGCAAGAAAGTCATTTGAAATTTTATTAAACTCAGTAGAAAGTTAATGCCATTTACTGAAAAACGTTATTACCCATTATTTACATACATTTTTTGACCTTATTTATTGTACCTCTTAAAATATTGCTTATTTAGGTTTTTAAAGGAAGTGAATGCTTAACAGTAAAACCTAATTTTCTTACATCGAAAGTAAACAAGATATGTATGAATGAACATTATCAGTGCATACCACCCATACTAAGCGGCGGATGACTAATTGCGCGGCCTGTAAGCTTAGAAAAATTTGTGGGACTTTAAGTGATATAACTTTTGAGGACGTTTTCATTCCTTATGCTCCATTGCCTTTGCTTCAGTTTTGTTACTCATAGTGTAAACACTATAGAATAAATTTAAATTTCGAACGAAATAAGCTCTTTACTTTATGAGTTCTATACATAGAGCATTATAATAGTATATCGTACAGTTTCCAACAGGATATATTTCTGGAATTTTAATTATTTATCTAATCTTGAATGGCAAACTGTCTTTACTTATAAATTGAATTCTAATTAAGTGAATGCCAACTTTATGTTGGTTTCACATAAAATGCTCACTTTAAACAAGCTTAAGTGAGTTCTAATGTAACATAAACCACTAACTGTTGTCTATTTAGCTTTTAATTCACTTAATCAGCAGAGACTTTAGAGAAACGCCCTCCTTGAGTTAGCTAATAGTTTGTGAATTTAAACACAAGACCTTGTCAATCATTTCCCAAATTTTAACAGTTCAAGCAGTTTTCAACAGTAAAGAATTTTTATGAAGTCACGTAAGCTTGCAACATAAGTCAAAAAAATCTAGAAAGACCAACTTACCGATACATTTCTTTTTGGATTTGTCAAGTTTGTATCCAGTGGAGCATAGGCATTCGTAGGAGCCTGGGATATTTATGCATGAGTGATCTTTGCCACAAGGAGAAGACTGACATTCGCCGATATCTAATAATTCACAATAAAGTTGTTTGAAAATGTGTACCATAAATTAAGCAATTTTAAGTCTAATTTAAAGATGTGTAATAAATAAATATGAAATTTTTTGTTTAATTTATTACGTTTGAATACTTCTTAATTGATTTTAGGAGAATGTAAAAACATAATTGTCCTAAAACTTTCATACGTGTATTTGATATGAACAAATCAACATCTAAAACGTCTAATAAATTCTGTAAAAAATGAGAGTATAGTGAGATCTGTGATTTTTGGTACTGTATGTATTAGTAATTTATTTGTAACACAATTTCTAGATTCGTTTAGACAAATATTTTTGTAAATCATACAGACTACGTTTGATTTTTAACAACAAGAATGAGTCTATTAACATGATACGTTAATTAACGATCATTTACTGTACACGATAGAAGATTGCTCACCAAGGGCTACAAGCAGAACCACACATAAAGAAAGTTAAATCTGGTAGTGAGTTCGATAAGGCGGCATTTATGATATAAATCAAACCTAGTTCTTACATAGCTAATAGGATTATGAATTATGAAGTGTGACGTATACCCACGACGGTTGCTATTTTGAATTATTTTCATCGTTAAAAAAGCGAAAACAACTTAGCTATTTAAAGTAATGAGATTAGCTTTGAAAAATTCACACAACAAGAGCATATTAATTATCTTATCTTGTCGTTGCAAATGTCAGAATTTTTGAGTTTGTTAATTCAAGATGTTGGATTATCTTTGCAACAGAAAATGCATCGACTAACAAAATTATATGAAATTGAAGCATATCATTTATACCAAACAAGCTTGACTGTTTACCCGCAATAAATCCTTTGAAAAAATATTTTACCAGAAGTGGAAAAATCATATTTGATTCAAGCATGTCGTCATTGATATGCATATCTTAATACAAAAAGCAGCGATATTTGGAGACGTTGCATCTTGCCGTAAAATTTAAAAAAAAGTTTTTCAATCAAGCCTTATTCATTGTTCCATCAAGCACTGTTCATTTTCAAATTTATTGTTTTCTAAGTAAATCAACACACAAAACTAACAAAACAAGACTAAATGCAAGCAGGTTGGCTACGAACAGGTCCAAAACTAGAACGTTCATTGAAGGGTGGGTTGAATACTCATATATATGCGAATATTCATGTTTTGTGACCTAATGTGCTCAGCAGTAGGGCGTGACGGACAAAGAAGTTATGTAAATAGGAATGGCTAAGAAGGTATGGCATTTTCATTATTGCCTAAAAGCAGGTCTTTTGAATTTATATAAGTTTGTGGAAGCTTCATCTAAGGTTCCGTTTTGACACATTTACTCGAGCAAAACTATTACTAAGCATAACTCTAAATTATTTTTGATATTTAAGTGACCATTCCCTGCATACCTGTTCTTTATTGAATTGACATCTTTAAGTATGTACCAAGATATACTTGCAATTTTACAGATTGGCCAAATTTGGTACCACATTAATTTTAGTTGAATATGTTAAACTATTTTTGGCGATAAAAGAAATATTTGTCTTCAAGCCATTAACATTTTACCATGGGGCATTGATTGAATCACTCTTAGTTGCATAAAAAGTTCAGAATTAGCTTTTAGTGCCCAACAATCGGCTACATGGTCGAATGAGTTCTCTAGTTCTAACATTTTTTAGGAAGAAAACAATAAGTAAAGAATGCACCAATTTTACCACAAAATAGTACATTTATATAAAGTAGCTAATGTATTGATAATTATAGAAGCTACTCACAGTTTAAATTACGTCTCTCACGTTGACAGATGAAGTTAAAGTGACGCCCACATCCAGCGTCAGACCACCTGATATAATTAATAATAACGCAGTCCTCTATGCCAAATCTTTTGTGACTAGGTTTTCCCCTATGCCATAATGTGAAACTGGGCTTGCCATTTTGAACTGTGTAGAACTGATTGTCGCTTTTATTGCGATACAAACCAATAAAATAATGTTTACTGCGTTTTCTCCAGATGGTTCTTAAAATGGCAAAATTCTCAAATTCATTTTTTGGAACAGCAAGATCTCCTCCCATCTCTTGACAAAGTTTTCTTGCTTTATTCCATGTTGTTTCTTTTGCACTTAAGAAATAACAAGATGATTCTATATGCCACCAATCAGAAGGACATCTTACTAGACGAATGAAAAAATAAATAAGACAACAAGAACAAGTAATTGTTTTCAGAATGATTTGTACGAATAAAATAGAATATTTAATAAGCACTTTTTAACTGTAAAAGCTGATTAAAAATGCTTAAAAAGGCAGGATTGTGTTTTGAAGACAGATGTTGTTTAGAAAAAGTCTTTCAATACCTAAAGGGTTTTAAGGAATAAGGAGGGACTTTGAGCTGGTTTTGTAGAGTAGCAACCAGTTGCAGAGTAAAGTATAATAGAATACAATCCTTAAAAAAATTGTATAGAAATTGTAAAAGAAATAATAGAAATTGATTGTGAAGCTTATGTAGTCCGGCTAACACTTGACATTTTAATCATATGTGGAAACCTTCGTGTTTAAATGGATGGTTATAATAATCGGTAAGTGTTGTTAAGCATTTTTTTAGTATTTATACTGTGCATAATAAACTGTCTGTTTTAGACAAAAACTAATTCATTCCATAATATTTTAATCCAGATAGAAATACTAAAATAAGGAAATCATAACACCAAAAATGTGCATGAACTTAAGGTAAGCCGTCAAATATAGCTCTTTTTTACGCCAATCTACTTTCTTTTAAGTGCTTGCTGTTGTCATTGTTGATTGATTGATAAACGTTATTTAAAATAATTAATTGCCTTTTCAGCAATAGCTACATGAAAAATAGCAATTGCACATTTGCACTACACATAATTTTTTGACCATATGTGTTAACTAAAATGACAGATGTTATATTTTAAACCAACAACCTAAGAATATTATAAACAATGACGTGGCCTTTAGTTAAGATATAAAAGTTGTTTAATGTATTTGCACAGGCTTATGCCATCCCCGAGGAGGCCTTTGGAAGATAGAGCATGAGAGCTGATTGAGAATTCGAAAGTTCTCAGAAAACGTCTCTAAGGTTTGCATAAGCCAGTGCAAACACAAAAACATCATTTATTTCTTTTATAAAGCAACAATAAAGTGAAACAGACAAATTGAAAACAGACGTTTTAACTTTACCTCTAAAATACATTTATGATCGATTTTCAATTTGATTGATTTGATTGGTTGAATTCATATCTGTTTTGCGCAGACTAATGAAAACACAGCTATTGACCAATAAGAACCACATTTCACTGTCTTTACTTATAAATTGAATTCTAATTAAGTGAATGCCAACTTTATGTTGGTTTCACATAAAATGCTTACTTTAAACAAGCTCAAGTCAGTTCTAATGTAACATAAACCACTAATTGTTATCTATTTAATTTTTAATTCACTTAATCAGCAGAGACTTTAGAGAAACGCCCTTCTTCAGTTAGCTAATAATTTGTGCATTTGAATACAAGACCTTGTCAAGCATTTCCCATATTTTAATAGTTCAAGCAGTTTTCAAGAAATTTTCATGAAGTCACGTAAGCTTGCAACATAAGTTAAAAGATCTAGAAAGACCAACTTACCGATACATTTCTTTTTGGATTTGTCAAGTTTGTATCCAGTGGAGCATAGGCATTCGTAGGAGCCTGGGATATTTATGCATGAGTGATCTTTGCCACAAGGAGAAGACTGACATTCGCCGATATCTAATGTTTCACAATAAAGTTGTTTAAAAATGTGTACCATAAATTAAGCAATTTTATGTCTACTTTAAAGATGTGTAATAAATTAATATGAAATTTTTTTTGTTTACTTTATTACGTTTGAATATTTCTTAATTGAGTTTACGAGAATGTAAAAACATAATTGTACTAAATTTTTAATACATGTATTTTATATGAACAAATCAACATGTGAAACGTCAAATAAATTCTGTAACAAATGAGAGTATAGTGAGATATGTGATTTTTGGGGACTGTATGTATTAGTAATTTACTTGTAACACAACTTTTTAGATTCGTTTAGACAAATATTTTTGTAAATCGTTCAGACTACGTTTGATTTTTAACAAAAAGAATGAGTCTATTAACATAATACATTAATTAACGATCATTTACTGTACACGATGGAAGATTGCTCACCAAGGGCTAGAAGCAGAACCACACATAAAGAAAGTTAAATCTGGTAGTGAGACTGATAAGGCGGCATTTATGATATAAATCAAACCTAGTTCTTACATAGCTAATAGGATTATGAATTATGAAGTGTGACGTATACCCACGATGGTTGCTATTTTGAATTATTTTCATCGTTAAAAAAAACGAAAACAACTTAGCCATTTAAAGCAATGAGATTAGCTTTGGAAAATTCACACAACAGGGCATATTAATTATCTTATCCTGTCGTTGCAAGTGTCAGAAATTTTGAGTTTGTTAATTCAAGATGTTGGATTATCTTTGCAAAAGAAAATGCATCGACTAACAAAATTATATGAAATTAAAGCATATCATTTATACCAAACAAGCTTGACGGTTTACCCGCAATAAATCCTTTGAAAAATATTTTTCCAGAAGTGGAAAAATCATATTTGATTCAAGCATGTCGTCATTGATATGCATATCTTAATACAAAAGCAGCGGTATTTGGAGACGTTGCATCTTGCCGTAAAATTTTAAAAAGTTTTTCAATCAAGCCTTATTCATTGTTCCATCAAGCACTGTTCATTTTCAAATTTATTGTTTTCTAAGTAAATCAACACACAAAAACTAACAAAACAAGACTAAATACAAGCAGGTTGGCTACGACCAGGTCCAAAACTAGAACGTTCATTGGAGGGGGTGGGTTGAATATTCATATATATGCGAATATTCATGTTTTGTGACCTAATGTGCTCAGCAGTAGGGCGTGACGGACAAAGAAGTTATGTAAATAGGAATGGCTAAGAAGGTATGGCATTTTCATTATTGCCTAAAAGCAGGTCTTTTGAATTTATATAAGTTTGTGGAAGCTTCATCTAAGGTTCCGTTTTTGACACATTTACTCGAGCAAAACTATTACTAAGCATAACTCTAAATTATTTTTGATATTTAAGTGACCATTCCCTGCATACCTGCTCTTTATTGAATTGACATCTTTAATTATGTACCAAGATATACTTGCAATTTTTGAGATTGGCCAAATTTGGTACCACATTAATTTTAGTTGAATATGTTAAACTATTTTTGGCGATAAAAGAATTATTTGTCTTCAAGCCATTAACATTTCACTTTGGGGCATTGATTGAATCACTGTTAGTTGCATAAAAAGTTCAGAATTAGCTTTTACTGCTCCACAATCGGCTACATGGTCGAATGAGTTCTTTAGTTCTAACATTTTTTTAGGAGGAAAACAATAAGTAAAGAATGCACCAATTTTCCCACAAAATAGTACATTTATGTAAAGTACCTAATCTATTGATAATTATAGAAGCTACTCACAGTTTAAATTACGTCTCTCACGTTGACAGATGAAGTTAAAGTGACGCCCACATCCAACGTCCAACCACGTGCGAAAAAAAAAATAATAACGCAGTCCTCTATGCCAAATCTTTCGTGACTAGGTTGTCCCCAACGCCATGATGTAAATTGGGCTTGCCATTTTGAACTGTGTAGAACTGATTGTCGCTTTTATTGCGATACAAACCAATAAAATAATGTTTACGGCGTTTTCTCAAGCTGATTCTTAAAATGGCATTAGTCTCAGCATTGTTTTTTGGAACAGCAAGATCTCCTCCCTTCTGTTGACAAAGTTTTCTTGCTTTATTCCATGTTGCTGCTTTTGCACTGAAGAAATAACAAGATGATTCTATATGCAACCAATCAGAAGGACAGCTTGCTAGACGAATGAAAAATAAATAAGACAACAATAACAAGTAATTGTTTTCAGAATGATTTGTACGAATAGAATAGAATATTTAATATGCACTTTTAAACTGTAAAAGCTGACTGAAAATGCTTAAACAGGCAGGATTGTGTTTTGCAGACATATGTTTTTTAAAACAAGTCTTTCAATACCTAAAGGGTTTTTAAGGAATGAGGAGGGTCTTTCAGCTGGTTATGTAGAGTAGCCACAAGTTGCAGATTAAAGAAAATAGAATACAATTCTTAAAAAATTGTATAGAAATTTTAAAAGAAATAAAAGAAATTGATGTGAAGCTTATGTAGTCCGGCTAACACTTGACATTTTAATTATAAGGGGAAACCTTCGTGTTTAAATGTATGGTTATAATAATCGTTAAGTGTTGATGTGGATTTGTTTTGTATTTATATTGTGCATAATCAACTGTCTGTTTTAGACTAAAATCAAATTCATTCCATAATATTTTAATTGAGAAAAATATACTAAAATAAGGAAATCATAACACCAAAAATGTTCATGAACTTGAGGTAAGCTGTCAAATATAGCTCATTTTTACGCCCATTTCAAATAACATTCCTAATTTTCCAGATTAAAGTCAATTTCATGGTAATGTGCTTACATGAAATTTTTATGTCTGAATAAAAAAATTCTAGTCTAACTCTAATAGCGTTAAATTGAATAGCAAGAAAGTCATTTGAAATTTTATTAAACTCAGTAGAAAGTTAATGCCATTTACTGAAAAACGTTATTACCCATTATTTACATACATTTTTTGACCTTATTTATTGTACCTCTTAAAATATTGCTTATTTAGGTTTTTAAAGGAAGTGAATGCTTAACAGTAAAACCTAATTTTCTTACATCGAAAGTAAACAAGATATGTATGAATGAACATTATCAGTGCATACCACCCATACTAAGCGGCGGATGACTAATTGCGCGGCCTGTAAGCTTAGAAAAATTTGTGGGACTTTAAGTGATATAACTTTTGAGGACGTTTTCATTCCTTATGCTCCATTGCCTTTGCTTCAGTTTTGTTACTCATAGTGTAAACACTATAGAATAAATTTAAATTTCGAACGAAATAAGCTCTTTACTTTATGAGTTCTATACATAGAGCATTATAATAGTATATCGTACAGTTTCCAACAGGATATATTTCTGGAATTTTAATTATTTATCTAATCTTGAATGGCAAACTGTCTTTACTTATAAATTGAATTCTAATTAAGTGAATGCCAACTTTATGTTGGTTTCACATAAAATGCTCACTTTAAACAAGCTTAAGTGAGTTCTAATGTAACATAAACCACTAATTGTTGTCTATTTAGCTTTTAATTCACTTAATCAGCAGAGACTTTAGAGAAACGCCCTCCTTGAGTTAGCTAATAGTTTGTGAATTTAAACACAAGACCTTGTCAATCATTTCCCAAATTTTAACAGTTCAAGCAGTTTTCAACAGTAAAGAATTTTCATGAAGTCACGTAAGCTTGCAACATAAATTAAAAAAATCTAGAAAGACCAACTTACCGATACATTTCTTTTTGGATTTGTCAAGTTTGTATCCAGTGGAGCATAGGCATTCGTAGGAGCCTGGGATATTTATGCATGAGTGATCTTTGCCACAAGGAGAAGACTGACATTCGCCGATATCTAATAATTCACAATAAAGTTGTTTGAAAATGTGTACCATAAATTAAGCAATTTTAAGTCTAATTTAAAGATGTGTAATAAATAAATATGAAATTTTTTGTTTAATTTATTACGTTTGAATACTTCTTAATTGATTTTAGGAGAATGTAAAACATAATTGTCCTAAAACTTTCATACGTGTATTTGATATGAACAAATCAACATCTAAAACGTCTAATAAATTCTGTAAAAAATGAGAGTATAGTGAGATCTGTGATTTTTGGTACTGTATGTATTAGTAATTTATTTGTAACACAATTTCTAGATTCGTTTAGACAAATATTTTTGTAAATCATACAGACTACGTTTGATTTTTAACAACAAGAATGAGTCTATTAACATGATACGTTAATTAACGATCATTTACTGTACACGATAGAAGATTGCTTACCAAGGGCTACAAGCAGAACCACACATAAAGAAAGTTAAATCTGGTAGTGAGTTCGATAAGGCGGCATTTATGATATAAATCAAACCTAGTTCTTACATAGCTAATAGGATTATGAATTATGAAGTGTGACGTATACCCACGACGGTTGCTATTTTGAATTATTTTCATCGTTAAAAAAAAGCGAAAAACAACTTAGCTATTTAAAGTAATGAGATTAGCTTTGGAAAAATTCACACAACAAGAGCATATTAATTATCTTATCTTGTCGTTGCAAGTGTCAGAAATTTTGAGTTTGTTAATTCAAGATGTTGGATTATCTTTGCAACAGAAAATGCATCGACTAACAAAATTATATGAAATTGAAGCATATCATTTATACCAAACAAGCTTGACTGTTTACCCGCAATAAATCCTTTGAAAAAATATTTTACCAGAAGTGGAAAAATCATATTTGATTCAAGCATGTCGTCATTGATATGCATATCTTAATACAAAAAGCAGCGATATTTGGAGACGTTGCATCTTGCCGTAAAATTTAAAAAAGTTTTCAATCAAGCCTTATTCATTGTTCCATCAAGCACTGTTCATTTTCAAATTTATTGTTTTCTAAGTAAATCAACACAAAAACTAACAAAACAAGACTAAATGCAAGCAGGTTGGCTACGAACAGGTCCAAAACTAGAACGTTCATTGAAGGTGGGTTGAATACTCATATATATGCGAATATTCATGTTTTGTGACCTAATGTGCTCAGCAGTAGGGCGTGACGGACAAAGAAGTTATGTAAATAGGAATGGCTAAGAAGGTATGGCATTTTCATTATTGCCTAAAAGCAGGTCTTTTGAATTTATATAAGTTTGTGGAAGCTTCATCTAAGGTTCCGTTTTTGACACATTTACTCGAGCAAAACTATTACTAAGCATAACTCTAAATTATTTTTGATATTTAAGTGACCATTCCCTGCATACCTGTTCTTTATTGAATTGACATCTTTAAGTATGTACCAAGATATACTTGCAATTTTACAGATTGGCCAAATTTGTTACCACATTAATTTTAGTTGAATATGTTAAACTATTTTTGGCGATAAAAGAAATATTTGTCTTCAAGCCATTAACATTTTACCATGGGGCATTGATTGAATCACTCTTAGTTGCATAAAAAGTTCAGAATTAGCTTTTAGTGCCCAACAATCGGCTACATGGTCGAATGAGTTCTCTAGTTCTAACATTTTTTAGGAAGAAAACAATAAGTAAAGAATGCACCAATTTTACCACAAAATAGTACATTTATATAAAGTAGCTAATGTATTGATAATTATAGAAGCTACTCACAGTTTAAATTACGTCTCTCACGTTGACAGATGAAGTTAAAGTGACGCCCACATCCAGCGTCAGACCACCTGATATAATTAATAATAACGCAGTCCTCTATGCCAAATCTTTTGTGACTAGGTTTTCCCCTATGCCATAATGTGAAACTGGGCTTGCCATTTTGAACTGTGTAGAACTGATTGTCGCTTTTATTGCGATACAAACCAATAAAATAATGTTTACTGCGTTTTCTCCAGATGGTTCTTAAAATGGCAAAATTCTCAAATTCATTTTTTGGAACAGCAAGATCTCCTCCCATCTCTTGACAAAGTTTTCTTGCTTTATTCCATGTTGTTTCTTTTGCACTTAAGAAATAACAAGATGATTCTATATGCCACCAATCAGAAGGACATCTTACTAGACGAATGAAAAAATAAATAAGACAACAAGAACAAGTAATTGTTTTCAGAATGATTTGTACGAATAAAATAGAATATTTAATAAGCACTTTTTAACTGTAAAAGCTGATTAAAAATGCTTAAAAAGGCAGGATTGTGTTTTGAAGACAGATGTTGTTTAGAAAAAGTCTTTCAATACCTAAAGGGTTTTTAAGGAATAAGGAGGGACTTTGAGCTGGTTTTGTAGAGTAGCAACCCAGTTGCAGAGTAAAGTATAATAGAATACAATCCTTAAAAAAATTGTATAGAAATTGTAAAAGAAATAATAGAAATTGATTGTGAAGCTTATGTAGTCCGGCTAACACTTGACATTTTAATCATATGGGGAAACCTTCGTGTTTAAATGGATGGTTATAATAATCGGTAAGTGTTGTTAAGCATTTTTTTAGTATTTATACTGTGCATAATAAACTGTCTGTTTTAGACAAAAACTAATTCATTCCATAATATTTTAATCCAGATAGAAATACTAAAATAAGGAAATCATAACACCAAAAATGTGCATGAACTTAAGGTAAGCCGTCAAATATAGCTCTTTTTTACGCCAATCTACTTTCTTTTTAAGTGCTTGCTGTTGTCATTGTTGATTGATTGATAAACGTTATTTAAAATAATTAATTCGCCTTTTCAGCAATAGCTACATGAAAAATAGCAATTGCACATTTGCACTACACATAATTTTTTGACCATATGTGTTAACTAAAATGACAGATGTTATATTTTAAACCAACAACCTAAGAATATTATAAACAATGACGTGGCCTTTAGTTAAGATATAAAAGTTGTTTAATGTATTTGCACAGGCTTATGCCATCCCCGAGGAGGCCTTTGGAAGATAGAGCATGAGAGCTGATTGAGAATTCGAAAGTTCTCAGAAAACGTCTCTAAGGTTTGCATAAGCCAGTGCAAACACAAAAACATCATTTATTTCTTTTATAAAGCAACAATAAAGTGAAACAGACAAATTGAAAACAGACGTTTTAACTTTACCTCTAAAATACATTTATGATCGATTTTCAATTTGATTGATTTGATTGGTTGAATTCATATCTGTTTTGCGCAGACTAATGAAAACACAGCTATTGACCAATAAGAACCACATTTCACTGTCTTTACTTATAAATTGAATTCTAATTAAGTGAATGCCAACTTTATGTTGGTTTCACATAAAATGCTTACTTTAAACAAGCTCAAGTCAGTTCTAATGTAACATAAACCACTAATTGTTATCTATTTAATTTTTAATTCACTTAATCAGCAGAGACTTTAGAGAAACGCCCTTCTTCAGTTAGCTAATAATTTGTGCATTTGAATACAAGACCTTGTCAAGCATTTCCCATATTTTAATAGTTCAAGCAGTTTTCAAGAAATTTTCATGAAGTCACGTAAGCTTGCAACATAAGTTAAAAGATCTAGAAAGACCAACTTACCGATACATTTCTTTTTGGATTTGTCTAGTTTGTATCCAGCGGCGCATAGGCATTCGTATGAGCCTGGTATATTTATGCATTTGTGATATTTGCCACAAGGAGAAGACTGACATTCGCCGATATCTAATGTTTTACAATAAAGTTGTTTGAAAATGTGTACCATAAATTAAGCAATTTTATGTCTACTTTAAAGATGTGTAATAAATTAATATGAAATTTTTTGTTTACTTTATTACGTTTGAATATTTCTTAATTGAGTTTACGAGAATGTAAAAACATAATTGTACTAAATTTTTAATACATGTATTTTATATGAACAAATCAACATGTGAAACGTCAAATAAATTTTGTAACAAATGAGAGTATAGTGAGATATGTGATTTTTGGGGACTGTATGTATTAGTAATTTACTTGTAACACAACTTTTTAGATTCGTTTAGACAAATATTTTTGTAAATCGTTCAGACTACGTTTGATTTTTAACAAAAAGAATGAGTCTATTAACATAATACATTAATTAACGATCATTTACTGTACACGATAGAAGATTGCTCACCAAGGGCTAGAAGCAGAACCACACATAAAGAAAGTTAAATCTGGTAGTGAGACTGATAAGGCGGCATTTATGATATAAATCAAACCTAGTTCTTACATAGCTAATAGGATTATGAATTATGAAGTGTGACGTATACCCACGACGGTTGCTATTTTGAATTATTTTCATCGTTAAAAAAATAACGAAAAACAACTTAGCCATTTAAAGGAATAAGATTAGCTTTGGAAAAATTCACACAACAAGGGCATATTACTCATCTTATCCTGTCGTTGCAAGTGTCAGAAATTTTGAGTTTGTTAATTAAAGATGTTGGATTATCTTTGCAACAGAAAATGCATCGACTAACAAAATTATATGAAATTGAAGCATATCATTTATACCAAACAAGCTTGACTGTTTACCCGCAATAAATCCTTTGAAAAAATATTTTACCAGAAGTGGAAAAATCATATTTGATTCAAGCATGTCGTCATTGATATGCATATCTTAATACAAAAAGCAGCGATATTTGGAGACGTTGCATCTTGCCGTAAAATTTAAAAAAAGTTTTTCAATCAAGCCTTATTCATTGTTCCATCAAGCACTGTTCATTTTCAAATTTATTGTTTTCTAAGTAAATCAACACACAAAAACTAACAAAACAAGACTAAATGCAAGCAGGTTGGCTACGACCAGGTCCAAAACTAGAACGTTGATTGGAGGGTGGGTTGAATATTCATATATATGCGAATATTCATGTTTTGTGACCTAATGTGCTCAGCAGTAGGGCGTGACGGACAAAGAAGTTATGTAAATAGGAATGGCTAAGAAGGTATGGCATTTTCATTATTGCCTAAAAGCAGGTCTTTTGAATTTATATAAGTTTGTGGAAGCTTCATCTAAGGTTCCGTTTTGACACATTTACTCGAGCAAAACTATTACTAAGCAAAACTCTCAACTATACTTGATATTTAAGTGACCATTCCCTGCATACCAGTTCTTTATTGAATTGACATCTTTAAGTATGAACCAAGATATACTTGCAATTTTTCAAATTGGCCAAATTTGGTACCACATTAAATTTAGTTGAATATGTTAAACTATTTTGGCGATAAAAGAATTATTTGTCTTCAAGCCATTAACATTTCACTTTGGGCCATTGATTGAATCACTCTTAGTTGCATAAAAGTTCAGAATTAGCTTTTAGTGCTCAACAATCTGCTACATGGTCGAATGAGTTCTTTAGTTCTAACATTTTTTGGAGGAAAACAATAAGTAAAGAATGCACCAATTTTACCACAAAATAGTACATTTATGTAAAGTACCTAATCTATTGATAATTATAGAAGCTACTCACAGTTTAAATTACGTCTCTCACGTTGACAGATGAAGTTAAAGTGACGCCCACATCCAACGTCCAACCACGTGCGAAAAAAAATAATAACGCAGTCCTCTATGCCAAATCTTTCGTGACTAGGTTGTCCCCAACGCCATGATGTGAAATTGGGCTTGCCATTTTGAACTGTGTAGAACTGATTGTCGCTTTTATTGCGATACAAACCAATAAAATAATGTTTACGGCGTTTTCTCAAGATGATTCTTAAAATGGCATTATTCTCAGCATTTTTTTGGAACAGCAAGATCTCCTCCCTTCTGTTGACAAAGTTTTCTTGCTTTATTCCATGTTGCTGCTTTTGCACTGAAGAAATAACAAGATGATTCTATATGCAACCAATCAGAAGGACAGCTTGCTAGACGAATGAAAAAATAAATAAGACAACAATAACAAGTAATTGTTTTCAGAATGATTTGTACGAATAGAATAGAATATTTAATATGCACTTTTAAACTGTAAAAGCTGACTGAAAATGCTTAAACAGGCAGGATTGTGTTTTGCAGACATATGTTTTTTAAAACAAGTCTTTCAATACCTAAAGGGTTTTTAAGGAATAAGGAGAGACTTTGAGCTGGTTTTGTAGAGTAGCCACAAGTTGCAGATTAAAGAAAAATAGAATACAATTCTTAAAAAAATTGTATAGAAATTTTAAAAGAAATAAAAGAAATTGATGTGAAGCTTATGTAGTCCGGCTAACACTTGACATTTTAATTATAAGGGGAAACCTTCGTGTTTAAATGGATGGTTATAATAATCGCTAAGTGTTGTTGTGGATTTTTTTAGCATTTATATTGTGCATAATAAACTGTCTTTTTTAGACAAAAACTAATTTATTTCATAATATTGTAATCGAGAAAAAAAATACTATAATAGCTTTAACTATAATAGCGTTAAATTGAATAGTAAGAAAGTCATTTGACATTTTATTGAACCAGTAGAAATTTGATGCCATCTACCAAAAAACATTATTACACATTATTTACATACATTTTTTGACCTTTTTTATTGTACCTCTTAAAAAAATTGCTTATTTACGTTTTTAAAGGAAGTGAATGCTTAACAGTAAAACCTAATTTTCTTACATCGAAAATTAACAAGATATGTATGAATGAACATTATCAGTGCATACCACCCATACTAAGCGGCGGATGACTTGTTGCGCGGCCTGTAGGCTTAGAAAAATTTGTGGGACTTTAAGTGATATGACTTTCTCCAAAAAGTTCAGTCTTTTGACGACGTTTCCGTTTCTTATGCTCCTTTGTCTTTGCTTAAGTTTTGTTACTCATAGTGTAAACATTACAGAATAAATTTAAATTTCGAACGAGATAAACTCACTACTTTATGAGTTCTTTACATAGAGCATTATAAGAGTATATCGTATAGTTTCCAACAAGATATATTATTGAAATTTTGATCATTTATCTCATCTAGAATGGCAAAGAGTAAAAACTATGTTTAAAGAGAACAGGACTTTTTAAAACGCGGGAATGTAAGCCTCCGCCTACATAGCCTACTGAGTAATCGGATAACGGCCATATTTGTCTGCTCTTGGAATAAGTTCATAAAGCTACAATCCATTGATTGAAGACATTTGATGTAATATGATTGAGGTGCACTCATTCTAAGAGGTCTGGAAGCATGTCTGTGAAAATGCTATTTAAAGTTTGGATTTACAGAATTCTTAGTTTTAGAAAGCCAACCAATAATAAACTCAAAACTGTCTAATATGGTGTATCTAGGTTAGCAGGGCTATAGCTAGATTACTAACTTCAGGAGGAGTGTTAACCCTAACCTTAACCCTTACCCTAACCCTAACCCTACCCCCTCCTTAATGTAGAGAAAATCAAAATGTGTTAATGCTAACATATGCTATTGTCATTTAGAGAACCATACACTTTTAATGTTGTGTGCTGGGGAAGTTTTAAGTGTATTAAAGCTTTTCATAAATTTATTACTGATTTCCTGCTTGATTGTATTGATAATGATGAACTTGTATGTGTGGCTGTGAGCCTTATTTTTGTGGTTGCATGTAAAATATAGATGCAGCAAATTCCTTGCACAGAAGCAACAGCACAGAGAACAGCTCAGGATTCTCAACAAAGAACAAAGTTTTAAAACTGCACGGAGATACTTTTTATTCATGATCGGTGATAAAAAATCTTGATAAAGACAGTAATGGATCCATACCTTGGCACGAGTTACATTCTCCTGAGTATCCTTCCATACACGTGCAGTTCAATGTTCCATTAATTTTACGATAGTATGTGTTGGGTCCACACAAAGGAAAGTTAAAAGTGCTTGTCGCTATATCGATCAATAAAATTAAAAATGAAATCAAACAGGGATTTCAAACGAAATATATTCTTCCTCAAAGAACGCAATTTGTCACTCAGTATCCACGTTGACGTACCCAGCAAGCAAGTTTGTTATGCAATGTTGATAATTTTGGTGTTCGCGCATTTCGTAAAAACAAAACAATTAAATAAATGTTGAAAATTTACAGAGTATGAACAAATTTGCTGGCTGTTTGGGACACTATAAGTGATATACTAAAGAAGTTAGATAATTAAAAAATGTTCAGAAAATTATCAATTCATCAGTAGTTCTCACAAAATGTGTCAAAGCTCATGTATTTTGGCATGGATTTAAAGTAAAATGAATAAAAATTAATCTCGAAAACCATGAGAGTACTTTGTAATCGCCTCAATTTGAACAGCATGCACAAAAAATGAAAAGTTTCAAATCTAGTTTTATCCTAAAATGTAAAAGTTTAAACTCTGTTTTGCAATATACTGAAATTTTAAGAAATTTGATAAACCTTAAGCTCACTGCACAACATGCTTAATTTGGACGTTTTGTCTTTCAATCTATTTTCATGTTTGTTTTTTTTTAAGACTGATTTCAAGCCTAAGTGATTGTTTAAATGATGTAAGAAACAATAAAGACTTAAATTACCACGCTAGAAGTTTGATAAGAATAGACAAACGCCAAAATGTCCAAATTAGCACTTTGCACTTTAAACATAATGTTCATCAAGTTTTCTATAATTTTGGAAGGAAGAACAACCGTTTACTAAAACAATGTAACTTTGAACTTTTTAACGTCTTTCTATTTTATGAACATTAGCGTGGGAGTTTTTGCAAGTCTTAGATTATTATGTCAAAAAGGTAAATATTTACCTACCGTTTGAATCAGGAGTGGTACTGTGTTTTGCTACAGCCAAATCAAGATAAGTGTTGTTTAAAGGAAGAAAATATTTACGTCTCGTACGTTGATCTGTTGTGTTATGGACGCTAACGACACTTTGTCCAACACTAGTCATGATATAAATGAATTCCCCAAATACTGCCATGGGACCTCGTGAAGTTCCAAAATCAATTACATTATGGGAGTTGTAATCACAAGAAAAAACATTTCCGTTTAAAACTCGCCAATAAATCTTCTCTTTAGCCATGTCAAGCGTTAGATCAAGTGCTATTGACTGAAGTGAAACGGAAAAAATATGATGTTTATTTGCAGTCATGCTCCATAACTATAAGAAACGTTTTGTACTTTCTGCCAAGAATAGATACCTTAATAAAAATATTTGTACATTAGTTTTCTCTATACGTACTGAAATACATAAACAATTGGCAAGCTAATAGATGGAAGAAAGGAAAGATAGACTATTTTTTAGTTTAGACAAAGATGTTGTTAAAGTATTCAGAACTACCTTCATATATAGACCGTTTAATGGAACATAATCATAAAATTTGATAATATAGCAACATAAAGGTATTGTAACTAACAGGAAAAGATCATCTTTATCATTTAAAATCTCTTTTTAAAAAACAGAACTAAAATATATGAAGTAATTAAACACTGCATGTTATTCAGAGCATAATAATAAATGTAATATGTTATTTTTATTCACATAACTTCTATAATGATTGGTATTGTTTGAGATTATTGTTGGAATGAGTAATGTTGTAGTTTGGAGTGGCTGCTGAATGAATTGTGTTGGTAATTGATAATGCTGAAAATTAGCTGATGCGTGGAAGTTTACTTCGAATTGAAAATTTGGTGTTGGTAAATGATATGCACCATTTAATGAAGATATAAAATTAAGAAAGCTTTGTCATTTCAATTTTAAGCTTTCTTAATTTTTCAGTTTCATCTTGCATGAAAAGCAGCAGCTCCTTGGATGGATCATCGTCCACAAATGTCGTTAAAAGAGCTATAGCTTCAAAAACATTGTCTTTTGTTGATAATTTTTTTTCAGTTTGTTTGGACAAACAATTTTTTAAAACTATCTTAACCTTCTCTTTTTAATTGTCAAATTTTTTCATTGTTTTTCTGAAAAATCAAAAAAACGTTGACACTGGAACTATCGCTATTGCTATCATTTGAAAATGATGATTCTATCGCCTTGTCATATTCGTGTTTCAAAGAATCTTTGGATTGAGCAGACTGCAAAAACTGCTTGAACACTATGTCTTTTCCTTTATCAAAAATGTTTGATGCATCTGGAAGTTTTGAGTATCATCGCAGCATATTTGCATTCCCCAATACATTTCTTAAATATATTACGCATTTGAGTAACAGCAAGATATTGTATTTACAAAAGGTGTTAAATTACGACTAAAGGAGGCGGTGTCAAATGGATTACATGATAAAGAAGTTGGGAAATAAAATATAGTAAAGTTAAGAAAGATTAAGTGGAATGCAACCTCCTTGCACGAAGAGTGAAGGCTTGTGTTTGTTGAGTAGAAGGCTCTCATCAATGAAGAGCTCATAGGAATCGTTAGAAGAGGAAATTATTTTAAAGTCGTAAATTATTTATAACATATTCAGAAAGCTCTGATCCACAAGGCTTTTAAGCCAATTTCTTTTTATTCACATGATAATTATCTTCAGATTCATCATCAGTAGAAGATACAGACCTAACGTTTGCCTAAGCTACACTAAGAAACACTGCATGAGCTAAAGTTAGTGGAATGATTTTCCATTCATGTGATTTGATTTGATGTGTGAATTGATTTATTAAATGGAAGTGTGCAGCCACTTAATTTGCAGCTCTCGACTTTTAAATATACTCTGCCATTCAATGCAAGTTAAAAGAAGGCTTGAAAAACTATAACTTGATATATTGATTATGTTTTTTCAAATTGCAACATTTTTGAAAATAAAATCCATTTTTATATTTTTCATGTAACTACGTTGGAATGTGTGTAGTTCTTTTTATCTTCGTTACAAAACGAAAAGTTGAGGTTTTTTATGTTCACCACATTCGTGAATATTTTAAAACTTTATTGCCATTTCGTAATGAGATTGTTGCACATCTCTTACACCGCCTTAAAAAAAGTATAAAAAGAGCACAGTATAGCAACAAACAATGCTCCCACTTTGTTGAAATCTTTTGTGTAGGGCTTATCTTATTAAGCATATGATTACCATGGAGGCGTCAAGCAAATTGCTTTTTCTGACAAAGAAAAGTGCTCTTAGGTGGCTAGCTGAAGCCAGTAATGAAAGTAAATGTACAACACTAAGTTGCACAGTGAAGTTGTACTACTTTTTTGTAGGTTGTAGAAAGCCAAGGTTCTGTGAGTATTTGACTAAAGTTTTATGTGCAAAGTAATTATTTAATATTTTGTTTCAGTTTCTACCGCTCTGTTTTATTTCATTAAATGACTTCATCATATATAAACATTGATCCCTCCGTTGTTACCTTTTTTCTCAAAGCTCTTTGGTTGCTCAGCATAAATATCGCTGTCGATATTTAAAATTTCAGGATCTGCATGTTATTTTCTGCTGCATGTGTGCTGAATAATCACACGAAACTTGTTCATTATTGCAGTAGGTTTTGAAATGCCTTATGATCACGCAATAAAATTTTGCTGGCCAAATCTCTCCGAAAGACGTTGATTTTAATAAAAATCTGTCGAGCTATATGACGTTTGTTTCTTTATAGCCAACAAAATACTTAAATAAATGAAGATATGATCTTCGCACTTTGCTGGAGAATTTAAGCAGTTGTTTCATGAACCTGAAAAATTCAAGTGACTCAACGGGATTAAAACCAATGACATCTGCGGTCACTCATAGCTCAGTTGATCAGAGAACCGGAACGGCACCGCAGAGGTCATGTGTTCGAAAACATCGCATTTGAAACACCACACTGCATAAAACACTATCATAAAATACTTAATATTCACTCCCTCGGTAAAAAACGAGTTTTGATTTCCCTGGAAAATCGATTTCTTTTTCTATTATTAAACCTCTAAAAAACAAATCATAATACAAACTTATAAAATTCAACTTTTCTATTAAATTAAAACACCGTCTCTAAAAACAAAAACTCTTAATTTGCTTAAGAAACCCTCCAATAGATTGACATAGTTTATTAATTTTACGCTTACAAGTAAATAGAAGAATTTCAATATCGCCTTACCCATGTTTTGAGTCAAATGCAATGCTGGAAAATTGCAAGCCTGGTTGAAGCCTCATAACACTTCTAATTTTGTTTTTCAAATAAATTTGGTAGATTATGTTCGTGGAGTCGATGTAAAAGAGACGACGACCAATCCAGTCAACTGTAATATCATGAACAAAAACGTTTTTCGCAAAAATTTCGTTTCTAGTCAAGTCAAGATTTCCCCGTTTGATGTCGTTGTCATCAATGTAGTAAAGCACATTCTCAACTACATCAATTTCTATGTCATTATATCTTGATGCATGGTGAAATTTATTCTTACTGGATCCATTAATAGTGCTGACATGAATATCTCCAGTAATAGAATCAACAGAGTATATTTTATCAAAGCTCCTAATAATCAAATATGGCTTTGGATAAACATCTAAATAAATAATAAAAAAACTATAAATAACAACGATGAGAGTGGATTAAAAAAATACAAATTTTTGTAGACTTTACGATCATAATATTTTGTGAAAGAGCAGAATATGTATTTTTAGAAAGAATTTTTTACTGTAGAAATATTACTAATAACTGAAATTAGATTGGCTGCAAAACTTCTACATTTTTTTTTGAATATTGTTTTTGATGCTATGAACAAGAAACTATGAAAATTTGTCAAATCTAAAGATTGTACCTTTGTGAAAACACATTTCTGTTTGCATTTGCATCATTTCTTTGTTGTATTGTTTTACTTCCTTGCATGCAGCTGTGTTATCTTCATTGCCATTTTTATCAACGCAAGTTTCCATCCATTCTTTAACGTTGTCTTTTAATGTCTCTAAGCTTTTCTTGCAGATTGATATGTCGTCATTACCATTTACTATTTGGCCATTAATAGACAGGATTATGAGAGTCCCAAGAAACGCTTTTGTTGAGCTTGATATCATCTTTATTTTCTATTTATAAAAAGGTGGACGATTACTATTTTCTTTAAAGCTTTTGTAGTAAAACATTTACTTTCTTTATGAAAGGCTTATCATCAATATAATCATATAATCATTTGTTCTTAAAATTTTTTTTGGTACATAAATCAAGTATTGATTTCTAGAATTATGTAACATTTTAACTTCCTTCCCCAAAAAGTATTTTTACGTTTGCTTTTAGATAATTTATGATGATTGGATATTGTTGCAATAGATTAGACAAATTGTTCATTTTTAAAGACTCATGTTTACAACAATTCATATAAATAGAGTTCATTAGCCTAGAACGTGTTTTGAATAAATAGATGTAAGGTTTCTAGGAAGCAAAAGCAAAGAAAGAAAGAAAACAGTTCAATGTGCACTATGAAGAAATGACCCAATATTTGAAATTCACCAAGAGCGGCTTAGAAAAAAATTAAAATGGGTTGATTTCAAATTTACTCATGTTAACTCAGTTTACCAGATAAATGTAAAAGACGTATTGCTGAACTAAGTCAGCAAAATTAAATGCCAAATAGTCTGTTGCGCAGTGTTCAACAGACTCGCTGGCCTCTCTACATATCATCTAATTACAGAAATGGATGCCGTTAAACAATACATGATATTCTGCTTTACAACATCTGTCAGTCGTATAGAGAAGTTCGCCTCTCATAATTATATAAATTTTGAATTGAATGAAATTTATAAGTATTTTGACAGAACTGCTAAAGTAAAGAAAATCTAAAAAGCTAAATAGAGGAATGCAACTTTGCAGTATTAAAAAATTCTTACTTCTTCAAATATTTTGTTTTAGACAATCAAAAGGCATTTGCCATTGTCAAAAATATTCTTGCAATATTGAATAATTTTAGCAAAAGAAACATGAGACGAAAAATGCATCATTTGTTTTACATGCATTCCTTGCTTTTTAAAATGACTTCTGTATTGATGTTTAATGATGAT